TCCCAATTATTTCTTTACATGGCTTATCATTTTCAAATTCGAAATTGCAAGATTTAGACATTTATGATTTTTTGTGATATTTGAACTTTTTTTTTCTTAATATATTGTTTTCCTATTTTATACATTTTATTTTTTAAAAAATATCTAGATATCTTAATTTGAAAGACTGATGTTTTAATTAAACACGATAACCAATTTTATTTCATCCCTTATTATAAAATTTTTTAAATAATATTCTATATATAATTTCATATTAATCCTTTATTATATTATATACAAGATGAAAGTTTTGATATTTAAATATTAAAAAGCTTTTATTTATTAAAATGATTTGATATCATTTCCTTCTGCTATTTTCAGATTTTTATTAATTGTTTTTAATGCTAATCAAACTTAATCCTTAAAATTTAAAAGAAAAGTACATAATTTTATTATATGTTAATAAAATTCAATGAATAGAAATTAACAATCAGCGGTCATGTTAGGGATCGGCATTGGGAGTTGATTTTAATAATAAAAATTGACGTCATGTCGATCACTTTTTTAAAATTGAAATAAAAATAATTTACATAATAATTCATATTGAAATTTTATACATAACACCATTTTATCTAAAAGTTATAATATATTAATTTTTACTGTGATTGAATAAATATTGAGCTACTTTTATTAGTAGTGAATTTTTAACGAATGAAAAATTGCCAAGTTTCATAGTAGTTTAACTTTAAAAGTGTTGTTTCACATGATTTGTAATACTTCAATGTGTGAAATTATAAGTTATAAAAAAAATAATTTTGTCTTCGTAACAAGCGAGAAAAGTAATTAATAAGTTGCATTTCTCAGTTCTATTTAACTATTTTTTAGTAGTTAAAAAAATGTAAATTACAATGTCAAAACAAAACAGTGATATTTTCTCTCCTCCACTTTTACCATTTTCTATAAACTTGGTAGAAGACAATATTGACGACAATGAACTTAAAAGAATTTCATTAAAGTTTAATGAAATGTTAGCTTGTGTTGATAGTGATACTGATGTTAGTATTACTAGTAATATAGACTTTGAAGACTTTGAAGACTTTGAAAATTTTGAAAAAGAAGCTAGAAAGCAAGAAATTTATAATGAAATGGACAAAATTATTGATCATTTGGAACAAACAAAATTTACTCCATGTGTAATTGTTGATTTTATTAATAGAAAATTTCAACGGTGTAAAGAAACAGGAAAGCTAAGACAGATTCGCAATTTATTAGGTACATGGCAAATTGATAGGGATGTTGTTAAAGAAGTTGATGGTGTTTTATCAAAATTAGGAGTGTGTGATTCCCATTTCCAATTTGACAACAAATATTTACATAAAGTATGTGACTTTTTTTTCTAGAGATGCAGGATGCGTTATACACTCTTGGCATTTAAATAATCAAAATATTCAAGTACCTTGTATTGGACAGTATGCTTGTGAAGCATTAAAAACATGTCCAAATTTATGTGATCGAGCTATTAATATTAAAAGACCTCAATGTGTTTGTTACCTGTGTTATGAAAATTTGGGTGGTCATATTTATCATTGTTCTGGGATTAGAGGAAAGAAAGCAACAACGTGTATTACTGAGAAATTACATGTAAATGATATAACAAAAGGACTCGAATTTATAGACAATTTGTTAATCAATATTGCACAAACAAAAAATAATAAAATCAAAGAAAATATTTTAATTAAAACCCTTGAAATACTT